TGATACACGTTATCCTCATAAATATATATATATATAAAGGGAATTGTCTAGGTACCAACATGTCTTGCATATATGTTGTTTCCTTTTACAATTTAAAAAAAAAAAAAGAAAAAGAAAAAGTGTTTTGTAGTTTAAACTTATATTGGGACTACAAAACACTGGCATTAGAGTAAGAAAGGGTTCCTTATTATTGGAGAAAAGATTATTAAATAGTTAATATTTTGCAGTTTAGTATAGACTTAGCTACAAAACAATTGACATTATAAAACAAAAAAAAAAAGGAGGAAAAATGCTAAAATTAAAGTAAAAACCACGAAGAGTTCCACACATATTACAAAATGGGTTAATTGAATTATTAGTCTATTAACTATCAATTTAATTTTATTTTAGTCTAAAAAATTTATTTTCTTTCTAAGTGATCTATAAACTTTGGAAAATATTTCAAAATAGTTTGCCGTACAAAATTTATATTAGATTTAACAGAATAGAATAGTTCTTTAAGTTTTGAAAAAGTGACACTATAATTCTGTTAGCTCAATGCACTCCAAGAGGGGGGGTGAATTGGAGTTAAAAAAAAAACATTTTAAAATATGGTTTAAAACTTTTACCTTAAAATCCAAGGGCATTTACCACAATATTACTTACCTTGCCTTGTAGGTTAACAATGAGCAAGGAATTTAAGAATTCAAAGCACTTGACGTAAGTTAAAACCTATACCACATCAATGAATACTTAGAATAGGCTTAAAAAAACTCCAAAAGTCACATGAAATAGCATGTATTTTAAACAGATTTTTTGGACCAACTAAGGTGGAAAAATGGTGAGAAATTAAGCTCTTAGCTATTCTAGACATAGCAAAAATATTGGACAGCAAAGTGGGGGGGCTTTTTCCATTTAAAGTAGTCCCAAAATGCTTGGAATAAGCCATGAACAACAGGGATTTCTGGGCAAAAAGACAGCAACAAAACATGGTAGAACACAAGCTAGAATTGTGCAAAAATGGACAACATTTAAGCAGCAAAAATACCAGCCAAAGTAAACCAATAACAAGGGATTTTAGAGCAAAAAAACAACACCTAAAAGTCTACTAAAACTATGATGCAATGTATGTAATATCCCAAATTTTCGGGAATTTTAGCATTAAGTTAAGGACTTGATTGTGAGAAAAGATTGTTTTGGGGCCTAATGTGAATATTTTGAAAGTTGAGGGACTTAAAAGTGGAAGGAATTTGGATAAGGATGAGCTTCTTTTCTTTTTCTTTTTCTTCTTTCTTTCCTTCCTAGCCTTGCGTGTTTCTGCTCTTCTTCTTCTCGCTGCAGCTCCCGAAATCCCCCCCTCCAAGCCGTCGGCACCAGCTTTGAAAAATTGGTGAGAAAGCTTGGAATTTCTCCTTCTTTCTTGCTCTACAACACATGTAGAACCCAGAAATTCTTTCCCCCTGCTGGAAAACCCGGATCTGCTCTGTCCTTCCTCCCTTGTCCACCGGCTGCTCCTGCTTTGTGGGGGTGAATTGCTCGATTTTTTGACCCGTGAGCTTCCCTGCAGCTTGCTGTCGGCTTCTTCCCCCCTGTAGCTCCAGTTTCTACAGCTGGAGAATTATGGTATGTGGCAGCTTCTCTAAGTGCAAGTTTTAGCCATTTAATTGCTGCCCGTTGTGTCCGAAATTCTGGATTAATTAGGGGAGAAAATTGATAGTAATTAGACCATGATTTAGCTTGATTCAAGTGCATTTATGTGATTGAGTGTTAATTGATTGATGTGTGATTTTTGGAGAGAAAACCCTATGATTAGCTAGTGTGTTGGCCAATTTTTGGAAGTGCAGTTACTGTTCACGTCGTCGTACTGTTCATGGGTACTGTTCACCGACACTGTTCACACACCGAGGGCCAACAATTAACGGGGATTTAAATGATTAGTTTGTGATATAAGAACGAAATTGGAGATATTTGATTATGTGGAGATTGATAGGAATTAGTATCGTGATTAAGGAATCTTAATGATGATTTCAGTTTGAATTTGTGATAGTCCGGTATTAATTCTGAGGTGTTTTGATTAGGTTTTTGATCGTTCTATCAGTTAGCACTGAGATTGAGTGCTCAGTTTTATGCGAGTGAGGTAAGTAATTTATGGTAATGCCCGTACTGTTTTAAAAGCATGTTTTGATTTGTTTTTGAAGTGGTGGCAGGACTAAACCCGTTTTATACAAAAATGAGCATGATTGATTTGAAGTGAGATTTTGATGCTTTTCATTAAATTGAGCATGCCTACTTGGAATTTAATTGATTGTCTTGATGATCTGAAAGTGATTGGTGAATTATGTTTTTTTGTTAACTTCAGCTTGTTTTGTCTCCGATGTGGTCATGTTATTAGTGACCCTGCTAGTGGGGGAGGTTATAAACGCTAGCACATGTCGGCACATGT